ACGAGCCTCTCGCGTGTCCATCATCCCCCTCTTATTCCTATATTTTTATTCGTCGCGAACCGGCCGTGATCACGAAATTTTCTCGTAATAACGGGTGATTTGTGCGTCCGATGCAGAGTCGCTATTTGTTATGCGGTCCCTTTTTACGAGCTCGTTAAACCCGGCCCGCGCTGGGTGCATGCGATGCACCTTTAAATCGTCCGCGCGACGTTCGAAAATCCTAGAAACGGGGCACGGGCCGACACGCGAGCGTTCGACGGACGGGCCAACCTGGCCGAAAGGGGGTTAATACCCCCGGCGCACGAAACAGCCGGCCGAAATAATTGGGAGAAGACCTATTAGCGATTTGGTTCATCGCGATGTGCCGAATATAGCCGCGCGCAACTTAGCCTTGCTAATTCCGCCGGTACCGTTCGCTAATTCGCCCGTCCCGAACACGTTGGGCCGCTTTCGTGACGGGAATCCGAAATGACGACGACGACGACGACGTCAGGCCGAGACGTGCAACGAACCCAGAAGCTTCTTCCGATATACCACCGACGCTGTTATAGAGGAGCTTCAACCTGCTGCTATCGGATTTATGAACCGCGTTGCTTGCAGCTAATCTGATCTAACTGGAGCACCAGCGAACGCGGGCTTTTGTACAGCGTCTTTAGACCCGGGGTTCCTCGTCTCTCGCTCATTGAAATTCTTTTGTCATTAACTATAGAGAGCTATACACCGCTACCACTACACAGACGTTCGCATTCTACAGCGTCTCGTGTACTTATTTCGGAACCAGCTTGGACAACGTCGAATGACAATTACACGACCTTGATAGTCAGTGATAGCGCTTGTAATGACCTCCGCGTGACCGTCAAACGACCCCGACGATCGATAACGCGAACCCCGTGACCTTCAAGCGAGCTTAACCACCGACGACACGACCTTGGCGCGAGATTCGGGTAACCTTGTCACGATGACACGATCTCGATCTCGTTCTCTTCTCGCGACCTCGATAATGGCTGACGTTCGAAGCGTAACGAGCAAAGCGGGACGTCTGTTCACTGTGGAAAATGGGCAAACGGTCCTAGAATCTGCGCGGAATGCACGAAAGGTAGAAGAAAGTGGGGCAATTCTAGTACGAGGCATAGCGCGACGTTACCTGTTGCTTCTCGAACGCAGGCTGAAAGGCAGCGGTGATGCAACGGAGCGCTGTGGTCGCTGCAAAGCGCGCAAACCGCGGGTAAAAATGGAAAAATAATAGCCAGACGGGCCTGAACGGCGTTTGATCGTAAAAAGCCGGGACATAGTCGGCCGGGGGTCGGTCGATCGGTCTGTCCGACAAAGCGGGACAAAAGGACGAGCCGGAGGAACCGTGATATCCTGGCGCCAGTCGAGGCTCCGAGTTCTCTTCTCTTCGGGCAAACAAAACGAACATCCGGCGGGGAGAGAACGGCAGAGCGGTCGCTGCGATCGATGCAGCGGATATACACGGCCGTGTGGGCGGGAATATGGGCCAGCGAAGGGACGAATTCGCGAAAAGGATCAGCCGCGTGTGCGAAAGGTACGAAACCGCGTGGAGTCGCGGAACTACGCCAGGAATTTCCCTTCGCGTGGCGAAAACTCGCGAAAAACTCGCGTCAACGATCGTGACACGTCTCTATCCGAGGTGTCGAAACGGAAGACAGCCCTGTCGCGGATGGCGCGGTTGGAAATTCGAAATTGCAAACAGCAGAGACGAGAAGAGAATATAGGAACGATGGAAGCTCTTCGACCAATGGAATTTTTTAAGGGATGTCGCTATAAGTAGGAGAGCGCACGATGACAGTGATTAATCGGGATGATGGGGCTGCAATTAGACTCGTTACCAGCTGGCTGATCATTATTGTGATCAACGTTCCCCGCATATGCCGCATCGCGCGATAAGAATCTAATTGATATTTATGGCTGCCCCTATGTATTCAGGTATTTTTAGTTCGGCGCTAAGTCAGTGTCGCGTAAAGTACGCTGGAAAGAGAGGATGGCAATGACCCCGGGATACGTGGTATCGATCGCGATAGAACCGGAGTAATCGAAGGGAAAAAATCGACGTGGACACGTACAGAGGGTATAATTCAATCCTAGATCAGTCCTAGAGTTAAGAATTATCAGCGATACTCGATTCCTGAAGGCAAGGAAGCTTCGCACCAGATTCAGATCGTGGTCCCAGGACGATTAATTCGATTACGGAAGAGACGGGTCTAGATGTCACACGGGGTTCCTCGACGCAGTTACGAGCAGTCGGAATTATCGATAATTAAAGCGCAATCGTAAGAACGAGGCCGATACCAGGCCTGGGCAATAGTAGCTTATGCAAATTTTTCAGCCCGATCAGCGTGATCCTTTAAACCTGTTCCGTGAGAAACGCGTCTCGCTTTCAAAAAGTATCCCGACGGTATCAGTCCGCGACGATCGAGCGAACTTTTTCAAACGACGTTGCTAATTAATCCGCAAACTACTTTTTTCTCTCCTCACCGCCTTGCCCGCTGGCTCGTGTGTCGAAGAAACCAGGTCGAACATCCGCTCGAACGTCCTTTTTTTCCCTGACACACCGCAGGAAACGTCAGCTCGCGTGATCCGCAGTCGACTCGTTTTTAAAACCATCCCTGCCATCTGAAATTGAAATGTTCTTCCTTCCCCTTTTAGCGCTGCGGCCGTCGCGCCGGGCTTCCTACTAGGCCCCTTACGGGTAGACGAAGAAGCGAGGAGAAATTCCTTCGTGGTCGACGAGTCGTAAACGACAATCCTTATTAGCGGAAGGAGTTAAAATTTCTCGAACCGGCCGATCCCGGCAGCGTTAATGAAATATCTCGATAAAGGCCAGACACAGAGCAGCGGATTCTATCGCGATGTCAGTGACCGTTCCGAGTGTCCGTGTTCGCGTGGAATCGCGGGGCACGAACGGTAACGAAAGGTCGTCGAAGAGGACGCGCGCGGAATTTCCGCTCGGAGACGCGGCTACCATCCGTCCGTTTCGGGAAGATTTACTGTTCTTTATATTTAGTCGACAAGGCGGTCCTTTATTGAGATGTCATCGGTTAACGCAAAACGAGAGTAATGCGATTGGCCCAGCTCGGTGGTCCTGGCCCGGCAAAAAGTTGTCCCGTCCACGAAGCAGCTCCCTTCTTCGTGCAACTGTTATAAATAAGCCCCGCTTATAGGCTGTTCGATAGCGAAGCGGCTACAGGTATGTAAACGCCGCGGCGGCTCCCACGAAAGGGACGGCGTGGTACTTTTGAATTAATTATTCGATGGCGCCCATATGAATAATTCAACATTGCCCCCGAGATGAATCTAGACCAACGTGTCTGTACGTCCAGGGTTAGGGGGTTGGCGGAAAATGGGATTGCCTTTTGATTTATCGCGACCCAACGAGAGGAAAAGCTCGGAAATTTCTCCTGCTGGCACCGCGGGGTTGCAGGAGTCCGTGGGAAACCGAGAATTTCGTTATCCCAGGTGTTTCAAGCCGTTGTTTAACTCTTTGGCCTGCGCCTTATCTCCCGATTGCGCGAGCTATGGCGAACAAGAAGATCGGTCGCACGCCGAGTCATTCAGCTGTTCAACCGTGTGCCCGAACTTGAGCAAAATGTACGTAGGGGATTACTTTGATTGGCGAATATAGGGAATAAAAGGCGTTGTTTAATTGCAATATTTTTATTACGAGTTAAAGAGACTTAGGAGTAAAGTAGAAACTAAAGGATTAGACTAATAACTGAGCTGTGATCACGCAATTCACTCACACATCGACTCTTCTTCAAGATTCGTGAAGGACTCGACTCTAACCGACTGTCAACGACAGGACTGTCTTCCAAACCTCGTATAGAACTCTCGTCGACTGGACTGTCCTAGGACAGCCCTTGTACCCTCATTTCTCATAGCCTCGCTCTCGATGGGTCACGTAACCTGAACACTCAGGCGTCTTTCGCTCTTCGCTTGCATTCCATACAGTCATAAATATCCTGTTCATCCGATCCTTGCACACGGTCACTCGACCTTTCGCGCGCATTTCAGACGTCACTCTAAACATTTGGTCTGAACCCTAGGTTGCTGTTTATTGTCCGTCACCAGCTAGACAGGCCCAAGGGTTCCTTTGCAATCACTCTCAAACCTACTATTCCTACATGTATACTTCTTATGAGATGTATATTTCGGCGCAAGGAAGTACCACAACTTCGACTCCTGCGTATTGTTAATGACGCAAATTCCTCGCCACGAGACAGACTCGTGGCTTTCGTTTATGGCCCAAATTCCTCGCCACGAGTCAGACTCGTGGCTTTCGTTTATGGCCCAAATTCCTCGCCACGAGTCTGACTCGTGGTCGTAGGGCAAAGGGGTTAAGCGGAAGTCGCGGGAATACCGCGTGAGATGCATTCGTAGGCACGAGCGTGGCTCCTTTCTTTCAGCCGACACGCTGCTCAAGGAGGTTGTGTTTTCGCGCGAGAAGTAGAAAGTCGGAGGCACGAGAAAGTTAGGTTCGTAATCGATCGATCGAACACGGTGGGTTCCGTACGGCTAATCGTACTTTTCGATTCGAGTATGGGGCGGAATAAAAGCAAAACGTCAGGCAGGGTAATCGATCTGTTACATGAGTCAGTTCCTGCGACGAACCGAGCGTGTCCATAGCACATTAATTACTATCGCGATAGTCAGGGTTAGAGATCTTTCTTTCATTAAGCCCCGGCTGAAACGAGCTCGCCACGCCTCGTGATCATTACTCACTCGACGGCAACACTCTGATTCGTCCTTTTTGTCAAACACGCTCGATCCTCGGCAAACAAACAGACCATGCGTTTGCACGCCAGCAGTGGGAACAAAGAACAACGAATCGATGATCGCGAATCGATCGACGCGACGTAGAAGATCGATTCTGAGAAATCAGTCTCCCTCTTACTCTCTCCTTCTCTCTCTTTCTCTCGACTCTCGATGTCTAGAATCGCTGGCTCGAATTTAATCCACGTTATCGCAAACACACGTTTCAGGGTACTTCGGCAAGTATCTGAACAAGTACAACGGCTCGTACATACCGCCCGGATGGCGGGAATGGGGCGGTCTCATAATGAATTCACGGTACTACAACTACAGCGTGAACATGAACGGGAAGAAGATAAAGCACGGCTTCGAGTACAGCAAGGACTATTACCCGGACCTGATAGCGAACGACAGCGTGGCTTTTCTCCGGCAGAGCAAACACAATTTCGCCCGGAAGCCGGTGATGTTGGTCGCGAGCTTCCCGGCGCCGCACGGACCGGAGGACTCGGCCCCGCAGTTCTCGCACCTCTTCTTCAACGTCACAACCCACCAGTAAGTACCGTCCAACTTTGTCATTCCTGTTTGCCTTCGTTACCGAACCGGCCGGATAGATCTAGGTCAGTTCGTTAACTACGGATCGGAAAATTGTTTGCCAATTACGGCCACTCGGTCCTTTCCACTCTCTAGTTTCAATTAACGCCATGCGGCTTCTCTATTTTTTTCCCTCCCTCGCGACAGGGGGATGAAACGCACGCGAGACTCGCGGGTACCTCGACGGGTCGAAAATCCCTCGTCCGTTTGCCTCTCTCGTTCAGGCAGAGCTCGGCTCTCCACGGAGATTCCCGGTGATCGCGATTTGCCTTCTTTTCCACGGTATCGCTCCGAGACTCTATCGTCGCGTCGAGCTCTAGAGATATACGATAACGATAATCCTTTCGACGCGTTAAATCGCGCAGCTCGCGTAGGCGGCGATTTGCAATTTTCCGCATAGAGATCTCAACGATCTTACCATCGGTCTTATCGGATTACGAGATGACAAGTTGGACTGTTAAAGCGGCCGATGTTAAAGCCTCGCGGAGAGAAGAGGCGATCTCGGGATACATGACGCGTTGGATCCCCCGGAATCCTTGAAATCCTCGGTAGAATAATTCACGGTGGATAGCGACGCGCGACGAGTATCGCGGAAGCTAGGTAAAAGAAACTATTCGACGTTGCTCGATCTCGATGGGTACCCTTGCTCTTACAATTCCGCTCGACGTGACGCATTTTCATTCGCGATGACGCGCGACCGTGCCATAGACGTCGACGCCACCATACACGCGCTTCCTGACAATAAGAGCTGTTTCTCCGAACGACCGAGCGCGTGCACGCGAGCGCCAGCCATTCCACGTCCGGCGTGCAAGTTTCCTCAAGCTGTTGCCCATTCAGACGTCGTTCCAACGGAGAATACACGCGCCGGATAGGCAATATTCGTAACGGGTGCAACGGTGAAACAACGTTGAAACAACGTTGAAACAACGGCGAAACAACGGTAACGAGGACGTGGACGAAAAGGCGAAAGAACGGGGGTGAATTCGCGGGAGTGAACAGTCGGTGGACGATTTAACAGAGTGTAAAGGGGCGGCAGGGACGGGGTACGGAACCGAAGGTGGAGGCGAAAAACGAGAGACACGGAGGCACTCTAGACTAGACAACCGGATAGATAACTGCAGCCACGGTGTCATCGTCGCGTGATGGAGTGCCCTAGACGGGGTGCAGTGTGCACGATGAAAAGCACTAAAAACGTGCACCCCTCTTGGTAGTCTCGTCTCGCCCCTCTGGACAACGCCCGTTATTGTACCTCCACGATGCAGGTATTATATTCACCTGTCTCTGTTCAGCGAGGAAAAAAAAACATATTCTTTGTCTCTGTCCTCGGCTCTGCCAGTTTCGACACTCCTCCTCCTTTTCACTCGCCTTCCCGTTTCTCTTCGCGTTTCTCTCCACGTTTCTCTCCTCGTCTCTCACCACGTTGGCCGGACGCGAGCGTACCTGCGACTCGTACGCGATTCAGACGGCGACGAGGAGGAGAGAAACGCGTGACGTTTTCGCGAGGGATCTTTTGTCAACGGGGGACTACAGATTGCCTCATTGTACGCTGTATTTTTGTCGGATCGCTGTTCCCGTCAGCATCGATTCTAAAAGGGATCTTCCTTCTACTTCCACCACTCTGCCATGGGATACCCTGAGCCACGCGGGTGGATACCGTTTCTATTCTTCGATCCTGCCTTATACACGCGTATAGTCTGCGAACGCGTGGGTACGCGCGCGTACCCTTGGCTAGCTGGAATTCTCGCGGGGATTCGATCCAGGCTATTATGGCCGGCGAAGAAAAAGCACGGTGCTTATAAAGCGTCGTTGTGTCCTCTTGGCGTTCCCTATCCGCGTTTTTGTCTCGGCGTATGCGCGCAGTTCGTTACCTAGCGCGATGCGGTCGTCTGTCGTGCTTAGATATCTCTCCTTTGCCACCCCCTGGGGGAGAAAAAGGAGCAACGACGCCGTCTGGCCGCGACAGAACGATTCACTGGCTGGATTTCGTAGCACAATGCGCCGGGGTCGTCGCGGCCGATACTACTTCGGATTTGGAACCACGGGCTCGATTCCGTCGTTCGTCATCCTCGTTGTTCGTTCCACCCCCCCTCCCCCCTCCCGTGCAATTAAAGCGCCGAAAAGAACAAACGTTGGTACACGGCTGAATACGGTCGCTCGGAACGCCGCGCGGTGTGTACGCGAGTGAACGCGAACAATTTGCCCGGATTGAAATTAAGCCTCGTAAATTCGTATCGCGGGAGAATTCTATTCTTGCAACGTTGCTGTGTGCCGACGCTCGTTCCGTTCTCTCGCAAATTGCAATGGGACATCGGTCCACGATACGCGTTCGCCAGACGGATATTTTCTTTCCCAACTGAGAAATGCCTTCGACGTGGTCGCGGAATCGGGATCGAGCGTAAATTATAATTAAACGCGATCCATAACGCAGGCCGACGTCGGTGCCGTTTAGAGGAGTCACGGGGGCGAGGCTGGTCGTTTAATTCCATAACCGGGGTTTTAATTCCATGCTCGTGCATCACGCCATTCTCTTGTCGCGTTGTTCAAAAGCCAATCGAGAGAACGAGACAAAGGGAGAGTAGGAGAGAGCTGGTGGGATGCAGCGAAATTAACGCGTGCACCACAGCACGCGCAATTACGCGCTTTCACGACGCTTTTAACTCGATGCCTGCCCTTAAGCAGCCGCTCCTTTCGCTCGAATTAATATCTTTTTCCCAGATCGAGAGGGATCCCTGCGACAATCGGCGGGAAATCGGCTTTGCGACTTCGTTCATTTCCCGATCGAGTTTTCCCATTCTCCGCTCCGCTTCCAGCTTCTTCTTGCTCGTCTTATTCCACGGTAACACGGTACCACGCTTCCGCGCGGCGGTTATTGTCCGCGACGGATACTCTTCCGTGTCGTGACTGCCGTAAATTTCTCGATTCGAGCCCGCGAATATTAAAGGCGATGGTTGTGCAATAACGCTCCGTGTCATTCGTGCCACGTCGACGGGCAACTAACGATTATTTACAAGACCGATTTGCTTACTCGCAAAGAACTCGCGCAACTTTTCCACAGCTCGATGCTTGTATATGTTCTGGAATATCGAGTAACGCGAGCGGAGAATTCAGCGCGCGCTGTTAAACGGCTCGTGTATAGTACTCGGAACGTGTTAACAATGCCGGTTGATCGTGCAACAGATACCAACGAGCCGTGATTCCATTGTGACAGGTGGAGTGACACAATCGTGGCGCGTTTCGCGAGCTGATCGGTCACAATTTACTTTTACGAGCTCCGTGGCATTCTTATCTGCTTTATGCAACATCTGATAAGCGACCGCCTTACCGGGACACCCAGAGAGCGTATCGATCGAGGCTCGATTGAAATCGAGAGCAGGGCTGGTTTTCATCGGGCACGGGGAACGGACGAAATGCAATTTACTCGTGGTGGAAACGAGCGTCGTCTCCTACGCTGTCAAACGGAACCCGGGGAAACCTTATCCGGGGTCCACTGGGAATTCGATTAAATGAAGAAAGAGAGCGGAGGAATCGAGACTTAACGAGCACACCGAGAGCAGCTGGTAGGATTTAAAGAAATACACGGCCTGTTTTTTTCTCCTTCCTTCCCGCGGCGCGTAACGAGGGAGGACGAGTACAACGCGTCAGCCCATTAACAAAGAAAACGTCAATGACCCAGGGAGAAAGCTGCTTTAATCGGAACGTCTATCCATTCGGAGCGAATCAATCTTCCAAAGTTCTCTCGTGCCAACGAGGTCAAGATAAACGAAGCACGCCGAGTGACGTGTGCACTTTTCGATGGGCTAGCCTAACTAATGCAATCTAAATCCAGGGCTAACAAGAGCAAAGCACCTTATAGTCGATCGTCGAGACGTTCGCAGGGGAAACGAGAGACGCACCAATTCCGAGATTCCGAGTACGGAAAGAGGCTTAACCCACGCTCGACCCAGACCGAGTCGATGACCAATCCGGGATGGAGAAAAAGCTCTCCGATAGACGGACGGATAAGCATCGCCATCGAGAGGACGCGCGAACGGATCAACTGGTGGTTTGTCTTCGATTCCACGTGGTCCGTGACGTTCGCCAGCGATTATTACGGCCAATCTGCTCGGATCTGGTCGCGACGTTTCGCGTTAATGGCCCCGGTGCCGTTTCAGGGGGGGCCGTGGTACACGCGCGGACACGAGCGGTTATCGAGCGATTACGAGCACGCTTATATTTTGACAGCACCCTTTCACCGTAACTAATCCGAGGGCAACGGCGCGGGCACGGAGTTTATCAGAGATTTAGCTCGTATCAAGCGCGGTTGCGTCGCGGTGTTCCGCCGCGGGCTCTGTTTTAATTCCAACCAAACGCCACCAGCCCCGTTAATATCGCCACCGATCAGATAATCGGAATTTATCGTCCGAGTAATTAGCGATCGAAATTTATGCCGCAATGCCGGTTATTAAAGGGGATAGGAGCGATCTTGCCCTTGTCTCTACGTTATAGGGAAGAAAGAAATCGGACTGCCCAGGTGTGCACCTTTCCCCGGTTACGTGTTCTTCCGTCGATGGAAAGAACGCGGTCACGATCGATCGGTCGTTCGTTCGTGCGCCACGGTGACGACTTCCACGTAGTTATATCTGCGTAGATTTCGCGATTACGGGGTACCGATAGTGTTGGAATTGATTAACGAGACGTGGGTAAATACGAGGCGACGCTACGTACGCTTAATCGGTGGGATCGCTGGCCGACGAGATCGGCGAGCGGAGGTTGCAACGAGCCGCTCGAGCGAGTCGCTTCGGGACGAGTAAACGAGAAAACGGAAGAATCGAACGGACAGAGATAGATGGCTCCGATTCGATGGCGTCTTAGATCGTTAATAGTGCAGCAGCGTGAAATATGTCGATCGAGACGATGGCTGATCGGGGCAGCGTAGCTCGGTTATTTGTACGAGTCAATCGAGGCGCGTGCATTCGCAACGGCCCGACAATCGATCCCTTGTGATTCGACGCGTGCTTCGTTCCTCGGCCAGCCTCCTTTCTACCGGTCATCGTTAAAACGAGTAAAAGAGAAAGCCAACTCTTCAATGGACACTATTACCAACGGCTACTCGTCTTCCTTCGACGTACGTGGCCTGCTTTCCTGCTTGCCGGGGTTTCCCGACAGGCATTTCGAGCGCCCCCCGATATCGACTACCCTCGATACTTTCGGAACCTCGCGAAGGTTCACTTCGGAGGCGAATGTCTTTGCGACCTTGCCACTCCGAGTCGTCCCGATGGGATCATCCCCGCGATGCGCGCGAGGAAGATACTCCGCGATATCGATATCGCGGAGGCGTATTCAAATGTTCGTAATTTTTCGTGGATCCGATCTCTGGTAACATCGCAGGCGTCAGATATTTACGATTTCGCGACCAAAGAGCAGCGTGGTTGGAAGAGCGATGAAAGAAAATACCGATATCGACGGTGGAAGAGAAACTCGCATCGATCGCGCTCGTATCGGAACGGAGGTTTAAACTCCATTATAGCATATGCAAAGAACGAAACGTTGCGCCTATAGCGGTTCATGCAGTGAAAGCAACGATCCGCGAAACACAGGGAACCATTGAACGTTCGAATAGTCGATATCCACTTTCCCTATTATCCTCTTTTGAAAAGAAACGCGGCTTTCTCGATGGCGGACACTGCAGCTTTAAACATAACGAAGTGCTAACCAAGTGGGCGGGAGCCAAGTGGAAATTGACAGAAGACGTAACGGCTTTTGTATATCCCTCCGACAAGCTTGCACACGCGATAAAAAAAATTCGAGAATTCCGTTTCGAAATTCAACCTTTCGATCATCGTTGATGGAATCTCGAACGAGTCGACGCGATTCGCAAGGAGAGCGAAAATGGCACGAAGGAATAGCACCGAGGGATCGCATGAATGAATCGATTGTCCTCGGTTACTCGGTCTATAATTAACCTGGGAAGCGGTCGATTAGCGTACCAGCGCGTGCAACGACAGCCGGTTTTTCGAACTGTGCACGAGCGCGAGAGATGCACGCTCGGAGACAAACCCGCGCGAGGATTTCAGGGATACGCGCGCGCGCGCGTGCCCGCGAGAAGGGTAGGTGGTGCGGGGGCACGTGTCTGGGTGCAAATATAATCGTGGAGTGTCTCGCGGGAAAGTTAAGTGGCCGTGGCGAGCCGGTGCACGCAGAATAGGCCGCAATTAAGAAGTCCAGACGAAATATACACGGGCGTAGACCGCCGAGGGGGTCGCAGGGGGTGGGTTCTGCAGCGGGACGGACGACGATATTCTTCGTTCGGGAGCTACCGTCAGATTGCGAGCTTTATTTTAAATTCGCATAAAGCGGCGGCATTCGCTTGATGGGCTGCTCGTGGCAGCGGGTCTGCGAACGAAAAGGGTATCCGACGAAATTAACGCGAATCGTGTCCCTCTTTAACCGCTGCAACCACTCCTAGATTCGTCTACCCCGCTTCGAATTTCCTCCAGCTTTCTTCACCTTTCGCGGAATTGTTCGTTGTTTGGTGAAACGATCCGTTTCTATATCTGTATATATGTACCCCGTTTCTTTATGTCTCGTTCATAGGAGGGGGGCGTTTCCATTCGAATTTATCGCGGCGGTAGTCGGATTCCCGTTGGAACGTTAATTCAACGAGCAGGTTGCATCGGTATCGCGATGATCGCGTTAGGCGATGCACCTCTCGTTCGTTTTTCGCGAAAATTCAGCACGGTCTCGCCGGAAGCGAAACGAGATTCCACGGGATTCGCGTTATAAGGTACCGGGTAGTCATTGCGCACGCGAAACGCTCGTTTTCATGCACCGTCGACATGCTTCTCCCCGATCTTTCTTACCCTCTTTCTCTGCCGGCCGCTTCTTCGCTGAAGTCTCAATTTCATTTCACGGGAATTAATTCGGAATTAGGGGGCGGAGCTGCGGAATTCGATTAAACGGCCTTCCTCTTTTAATATCGCAAGAATGGACGTTTAACAATCTATAATAAGTACGTGGATCGGATAGGAAAGTTACGACATATCGAATTTTCCACCTACCCGGACTATCCGCGTTAGTTGTCTATGAAATTCCGAACGACCGGCCCGGTAAACCTGTTCCCGCGTCTCGCACGATGATGGTCCACCAACGGTAAGACAAAGATCCAGCACGTTCGAGCCGAGCGTTCCTGAAGGACGCGGAGGAAGGTGAAGGGCCAATTACCCATAATTTCGTGTCTCGCGTAATTGGTGAAGAGCTAGGTGGAAAGAGGAAGAGAAAGGAGGAGAGGATACGGTGTCTCGAGGGTCCATCGCGTTTCACCTACTCGTTGCATCGAACTCTCGCGGCTCGTTGGATACTCGAGATTAATTCAATTTCGCCTAGCCGGCTCGGATTCCGTCGAGAAACGTGCGCGCTTGAATCCTAGTTACAGGAGCCAACGCGAGCCACTTAATCGGCTAACAGGCATCGATTCGTCCGGGCACTCCCGGTCCAAGCCAGCGAATCCCAGCTTATAAGCTGCGCGAGTCCGATCGACGAATTCGTCGAGCTCGACGATATCGATGAGGATTTTTCCTTCGTGTTTCAGCACCCCGGCTTACGACTACGCGCCGAATCCAGACAAGCAATGGATCCTACAGGTGACGCAGAAGATGCAACCGATTCACAAACAATTCACGGATCTCCTGATGACCAAGAGGCTACAGACGCTGCAGAGCGTGGACGACGCGGTGGACCGGGTACGGGTGATTCACGCGTTTAGCCACGTTTCCGCAGACACGTATTAATTGAACCTCTTGCCACGGACGCGTCAAGAGGACGAGCGCCGTTTCGTCGGAAAGGTCGTTTATTTTTATGCGTCCGCTTGTTAACAGATTTACCAAGAACTGAAAGAACTGGGGGAGCTGGACAACACGTACATCATCTACACGTCCGATCACGGTTACCATCTGGGACAATTTGGCCTGATCAAAGGGAAGAGTTTCCCGTTCGAGTTCGATGTCAGGGTGCCATTTTTGATCAGAGGACCCGGGATCGAGCCAGGCACCATGTAAGCATCGCGTTACGATTATTTTCCTTCCACGTAGGCAGCGCTGCTGCTGCCGTCCCCGGTTCCCGGACCCACGTCGTGCCGGGAAGTGTATCTTCGTAGGTAGTTACAAGTAGGACAAATAAACGAGCCATCATGAGTCGGTTGAGCGCGCGAAGAGGAGGCGTGAAGTGGGAAAGATTTACAGCGGGACGCGTGTCTGACCGTTTATGCTTTCTGAACCTTAGCCCTGCCGTTTCCTTTTATCCTCCAGCAATCCTCGCGTATCGACCGTTCTCTCCGTGCAACAATATCGTAAACGTTTAAACAGTGTTCGCGGCCAGAATGTGGCGTTCGAATGGTACCGTTACCTCGTAAATTGGCACCCAGAAGAGCGAAAGCAACAAAGCACGCGAAATAATTTCGGTCGATGAGCACGGCAATCGCGTGTTACTGCATTCCCCGAGCAAACGCCGCGTTTACGCGTGCCATCGTCGCGTACATAACCTTAAAATCCGCGATACCGCGCGATATCCGGTACATGGATATCCGGGACAAAATTCCTAACTTTATATTCCTCCGGTATAAAGTCTCTCGCCAATTTTTTAAATTCCAACTCTCGCGAAACGTTCCTCCGTAATTTTGGAATAAACGCAAAACGAAAGCACCTTGATCTCGGAATGGCGAATTTTTTCGGGAAAAATGGCGTGGTTCGGCGAAGATACCTCGCGTATTACGAACTTCGAGTTTTGCCCATTGGACGGCACGCTGTGAGTCACGGTAAACTTTCGCACGTGATAAACAGAACGCTAATACTCGCGTAAGTGGCCGTTGTCTGGTCGTCTTCTGGAATTACGGTTGCAGCAGCCTCCAAGACGATAAATTATCCGGGCAAACTGCGCGAGGAGAGGACGAGGAACAGACAGTTCGCTAACTGACGAGACGGCTCACAGTTTTGCGTTGCCAAACTGCCGTGTGAACGCGAACCCTCGACCATTCGCGTATAAATTGAAGCACTGCTGCCGCGTCTCTTATAAACATGGCCGTTAGATTAATGCCACGCCATCGCGCGAGCCCGCTTCCGCGTGCAATCCCTTCTGGATTTAATAAACGGCGCTTGGTCTCTGCCACGAGGCGGAAGGAGTTCGTGCACGATTTTAAAAAAGCATATCGCGAGGGAAATATAGTTTTCCCAGGGATGCGACGAGGTTTCCCGTAGACCGACCTCTGTTAAACGAAGGGGGTGGAAGCGTTTGACGAGGACGTTGGCAGTTCTCGCGATGAGCGAGCGAAATGTCAGAGGGTAAAATTGTTTGGTTCGATGGAGCAAATATTATGACTGGTAGATCACTCGTCTGGAGGCCATCGTTGCGGTCTTTTTATCAGTTGTTTGCACAAGCCACGTTATGACTGACCTCGAGTGGAGCCCAGTGGTCTGCGACAACTACCAAACGATCTCGAGAGACGAAAATTTGCTGAGCGTGGCGTACGTTCCGACGAATATTAACGAGACACGGAGGAACGTTACGAACAAACTCGCGACGTATTTTCTCAGACCATATAGACGTTCGAAATTGGGTATTAACGAAAAATCAAAGATCCGTAATACGATAGAGGAGATGAAAGGGAGGGAAATTCGTGGGACGAGATATCAGAATATTCGCAGCGACTTTACCGGCCCGGTATTTACCCCGAGGGGTTGAGCTGCAATATTGGATTACGATAAAGCATCTATATGACGTTGCAGAGTAGACGACATAGTTTTGAACATCGACTTGGCGCCGACGTTCCTGGACATAGCCGGCGTCGAGACGCCGCCGCAGATGGACGGTCGTTCTTTCAAGAAACTTTTTCAGAAGTGAGTATATTGCCAATTTTTCGCTATACACACGCGAATCGTAGGTCGACAAGTAAATTACCGCGATGAACGAGGATTAATATCGTCGGAACGAAAATAAACCGAACGAAAAAGTCTATTACCATGGAAATCCCGTGACCCTGATTTTTCAAGAAGGAATTCCGCGTTGCAGTAAACACGGGCGAAGATCAAAGTTTAAGTGGCCGGATACGTTTCTGATCGAGTCTTCCGGACGCCGGGAAACCCCGGAATCGATCGCGGAATCGAAGGCACGAGAAGCGAGGAAGCAGAACCGGACGTTGACCAAGCAGCAGTCAAACGTGCCACCGGAAGAGGAGGAGGACAACGTGGCTGATCCAGAGACGGAGCACGAGCTGGAGCACCGATTCTTGGAGAACGACACTGGCAGCGACCAGGACATCTCCGAGGACGAGGATTTCGAAGATTCGATCATCGACGACTCGAGTAAGATACTTGGCTGTTTTTATCGCGGATCATCGAATCGTAATCCTTGCTCTTTATGTAGCCTTTCCCTATTCGGGACGCGGTTTCCCCTGCAGGGAAGCGTAACACTTTGCGCTGACCTTTTCGCGGCAATAAAATTGCTCTCCGCTTGGAGAGCTGCAATCTCGCATTATGATCCGATCCCTCAATGAATAAATTACTCCAACCACTGGTTTACAGCATCATCGTTTCGGCAATTCGCGGAGAATTCGGACAAAACTATCAAACCCGCGAATAAATCGGGGGGAACAGCTCTCATCGCGTGTCCTTATACCCTGCGCGCAATTTGATCGCCTTAATTAAGTCATCGGCAAGGGCAATTACTACGGTGATTAAGATCGATATTCCTCGAAGCTGGACAGGCTTCGGGCTTCCCTGAGACCTCGAAGCGTAAAGTTTTAATTAGTTTCGACAGCCGCTGTATCTCGCGACACGGAAAAAACAGCGAAGAAACTTCTTCAACGGCTACGTCCCGAGATTCAAACCGGCGTAATTGAAGCCCGCGGTTAACTTAAATGAATTCTTATTCAGCCGACCTGGATTATCGCGCTAAAAAGGGGTCGAATCCCTCTGCGTTCGGACGTAAATCTTGTCGAGTTTCGCTACTCGGGATTTACGCAACGATCAAGCTTTAATCCTATTTTATTGCCCCGCGTGTGCGAGTTTCCATCATAAAATCTCCGCTTGTCGTTTTCGTTCCCTTCCAATGGGGTTCTCAATTGTGACCGTAAAGCGCTCGGCCCAGGAAAGTGAATATTCCTAGCCAAACAAGATCCAAGGGAATTAACGGCGTATAACTGTACAACGGCCATCTCCTTTCAGACTCTGATCCACATCTGGATAACAGGGTTCATCCTGTTCATTCGTCCTTTTCGACCAAGCACGAGCGCTTGGCCTTCGAGTGCTCGCGGCCGGAAGTGCAGATGAACTGCATTCCGGGACAAAAATGGCGCTGCGAGAGGGACGGTCATCGATGGAGGAGGCATAAATGCAAATACGTGGCACCTCCGCCGAGGATATCGAAGAAATGTGCCTGTTTCACGCCGAACGGCGTTGTTTATACCAGGCTGGAGTCGAATGATTACGATGGACATCGATATAGCTTCGGCAGGGACAGAAGGACGGCAGACGTAGCCAGATATTTTGCTAGACGAGGTATTATTTGCTTTCGTTTGTCAACCAGTGGTATTCCGACAGCCACGACTTTGCCGTATATTTCAGAAGGAACAAAGAAAGCGTCGCAGGGATTCGAAACATAAGGAATATAGCCCTCCATTGTTCGAACGTTTATCGCGTGTCAGGAGTATGTTCTCGTTCTTACGCTTTTACGATCGAAATAAATATCAGTCGAGTCCTCGTCCTTTATCGACTAGGATCTTTGCCGGTTAATAGGAACGGAACTTTGAAATTTATGATTCCTAATCAGAGAAGAGATCATCGTTCACGATTTTTCTCAGGCAAACGAGACGTGTCAGACGCGGCGGCCAGCGAAGATGCTATTCGAGATATCGACAGGGACGATGATGAGTATAATGACGGTGACCGGGACCGGCGTGCCATCGACGAGGAGGACGATGAGGACTTCTTCCAGGAACTGAATAGCCTCGCCGAAGACGTGAGGAGGGACTACGTAAACTTGATCCTTAGGTACGAAAGTTTAGAAAGTCTTCGATACCTCGTTGGATAAGCCACGGCTCTTTCATGGTGATGGATACGCTTTTAGGGATAGGTTTGATAACCGAACGACACGGGACGATGCACTCCAGTTCGACAATTTAAATGAATCGGAGTACTCGGTGGAAGACTTTGATCCCAACTTGGATAAGGTGGTGAAAGGTCGACTGAATGTCCAGGACGTGGTGAGGAGGCACAGAAGGATACGAAGAAGCGTCACGAAGAAAGACACCGTGGAACACGTGACAAAGATCATGGAGAGCATCGAGGAGGAACTGGACGACTTGAAGGTGCTTCTAGTTAAGAAAATTTATCAAAAATTGCATCACGAATGAACGTGTAATTTTTGTTTCCACGCTTAGGCGACTCAAGCACGCCAGTCGGAACCGAGAAGGACGTTCCCGCCGAAATGTTCGGTTCTTCCACAAGGAGGGGTAAATTGCTCCGAAACGGTGTATCAGGATCCAAAAGAATGGAGAATTTCGAGGCGAGAAATTGTACAACAGATCAAGGAAATGAGAATGCAATTGGAAACTTTAAAAGTGAGTGTCAAGAATAATTGCTTCGTTTACTAAGAAAATAACGTGGTGTAATTTCAGGATATTCGCCGTCACTTGATGACCAAGCGACCTCACGTCATGCGTGATCCGGAGGATGGATCCAAGAGTACGGAGGAACCTCACAAACCGCATCACCACCCTCCGAAGAACCATGTGAATCGACATCACAAGAAACACGATCACACCAGTACGGTTAATCCTACCGTAACGACTACCGTTCGTTCTACCATGAAACATAACCAAGTCACGGAGGATGCGACTGCATTTACGGATACCACAGTGAAACCTAAGTTTATCGTTACGGTCGCGGGTAATACCGATATCGATACGATCACCACGACTGAACCCACTTCGACCACGTTGTCGACGACTTCCAAACCAAAGAAGATCCCTCGTCGTCAGAAGGGACCCGTTAATAACAGAACGGAGGTCGAGGATGACAAGCCACCGAAGCGCAGGAAAATTCAACATCATCGACGAAACAGTACTATTTTGACGAACAGTGTACACGACGAGATTGCGCTGGTAAACGTGAGCGAGACGATCGAGACAACCGTAACTACGCAGAGCACTGCAAATCAGAGGCATCAATATCACCCAACCAAGTATACGACTATTGCAACTACGACAATGAGGGAAACTACGATTCAGAGGGAAACTCCTAGTACCGTCACGAACGACATTACCAAAGAAACTACAATGGGGACAGGCTTGCAAACGATACTGTCAACGGGGTCAGAAACGTCTAGTCTAGGAGAGACAACAGTGGCACAAAGGACGACTCCTCTGTTCACCAGGACGAATGAAGCTCGTTTCAGGACAACGTTCCCGACTACCACCACTGTGCCAACGACACCTGTAACTACACCGGTAATCATCCCACCAACTAGAAAGTTTCCAAAGATCCAGAAGAACAGAACAACCAACCTGGGACCTTCTAGGATCGACGTGACCATCCTGGAGTCCCCGGACAGAAGGAACAGGCAAGGTCAGTTATTATATACGATACACGATTTATTGGATTCCATTTTAACCCGAGGCTGATTGAAAGTGTCTCTTTCGCGACAGATATAATAGACATAGCGAATAACAACCGTCGGCTACCACCGATACTAAACAGTTCTCTGGAAGCTCGCCATAAATGCTACTGCGAGCCTGACTTTTACACGAAAAAGGACGAAAAGGAGATCGCGCGGGAGGAAAGAAGAAGGCTGAAGGAAGAACGTTTGAAGAAGAAGGAAAGGAAGCTGAGAAAGAAAGCCAAGCTCGAAAAGGAGTGTTTAACGGAGAAGATGAACTGCTTCGAGCACGACAACGACCACTGGCGCACCGCTCCGTTATGGAGCGCAGGTCCATTCTGTTTTTGCATGAATGCCAACAATAATACGTATTCCTGCATTCGTACCATTAACGCGACACACAATTTCCTTTACTGCGAGTTTACTACCGGTTTGATCACTTATTACAATCTGAGGATCGGTGAGTACAGTCGTTCACGCGCGTAAATTGGGCCTGGTAAAGGAAATTGCTTCGTTTCATGTCCTTCGTCCTCTCTGTTTAGATCCCTTCGAACAGTGGAATAGGCTTTCAACCTTGACGATTCCGGAACGTTCCTATCTTCATGATCAATTGGAACATTTGAAGGGTTGCAAAGGGACAAGGGATTGCACGGTTGGGGGTGCAAAGGAGGCGTTGCCTCAACCGCAACAGCATCAAAGGTTCATCTCAAAGAGGAAATACGCTAATTCCTTCGGTATGTTCGGCTGATAACGCGTGAGAGAAAATATTAGAGGATCGTTGGTTTATTTTATGCCGTTGCGTTTTCCAGAGGATATGTTCGTACCGTCGACGTTACAAATTATTCGCGAAAGCGAGCTCAGTAGTCCGCCGAATAAGAGGCGAAAAAAGTTACAAAAGTAAGTAATCCTTTGATCGAAAGTTTGGTTCTTGCGTTTAGCAGTATACGAAAGCGACGATAACGATTTCCTTCCATCATATCGAACTGTTATTCCCTTCTAAAGCAGTGTTTGGAACAGACGAAGCAGAAGCTGGCAGAGTAGTTGGAGACATCACCAGGACGCGGTGAATTATCGTCGACATCGACATCAGTACTGATAATTATGGTTCGTTTCTCTTTGAACAAATCATCGAAGGATGCGTGAAAGTACTGCCTTAGATGTATATTAATTTCGCGATGCATTTAATAACGTAATTTATTTAGTGATATTTAATTGAGAACGATTACGTGATATTTAATTGAAAACGTTCAGATTCCATTAATTAGACTCGCGCTGCTCGAACGAGTACACCGTGTATATTTTTAATGCTATACTTTTCACGGCGAAAATTATTGCGACTGATTGGACGCGTATCGCGTATAATATACCGTTTTCACGCGTGATTAACAATCGGGAACGATCTAAACGATCCTTTTTTTTTTTTTTTCTACTTAATAGCCGATATTTTTTATAATAATTTATTTACTACTCGTCTCTTTAGGTCTCTTTATACAAGAAGCGAATAACTCGAATAAAACGATACTTGCCTAACGAGATTTAGAGCAATTTTAAAATTTTCGATTATCCGAAACTAGTAAAAGACACTTCTTTGCGAAGTGAATAATTGATACCAGTAGCTTTACAGGCAATAGATTGTCTAAGGGGAGAGAAGGATCTGAGAGTTCGTCTATCGCGTTAGAGAGCAATTGAAACTCGAATTCGTGACTACGAACTGAAACGCACAACAAAAAGCAATTTTTGGCACCATTTATTCTGCGCAATTTCCTGTCTTACTAGGAGCAGTATGGAAACTTTTGTGACTGCCACACCCAACAGTCTCTGTTATGAAAAAATTTAAAAAAATCGAATGCTGATGGATGCATACGCTGTCATAAGAATAATATAATATAAACAAGGAGTGAAATTCAATTATACATCTGCTTCGACAAGTATACAAGAGTTTTAGACAATATTTGTTCTTTTACAAATCTTGCGAATTAATTACAATTTAAATATTAAATATAATATGTTACTATGTAATAACTAGATAATTGTCTCCATTAGCATTTTATTTTTTTACAAATATATGTCTGTGTTATGTACTAGGTTCTCAGTTAGTGTTCTGAGAATATCTTCAAGATTTTGAAGCTAAAGCAATGTATTTAAATCATGTGAAATAAATAAATAAATACTGCCCAAATTTTTAATTGATATACCATAAGCGTAAGTTAGGAAGTAAACAAATCTTTGAATAACAAAGAGAGGATATAAAAATAAATGATGTTAAAAAATTATCACAATATTCTTTATAGCTTTTAGTTCTTCTTTACACGAAGGGATAAGAATTGTTACAGAGAAGTATATTTAGAAGATAGAAGACTTAAAAACTTAGAAATCAATAGAGAGATCAAAATCTTCATTGTCATCAAAAATATTATTTGCACATTTAGTTTCACTGATATTTTTAACTTTACTATTGTTATCAACATATGACACAGTATTTATTTCCTCCGGTATAGAATTATCATATCTTTCCTCATTATCAAAGGCATAATCTTCTTCAATGATATTTTCTAAGGAAGATTTATGATTTACGTTTGTGTATTCGTTCTGTGAGTTTTTATATGTTGCATTATCATTACTGAGATACGTTGTGTCATTGTCTTCATAATTAGTACTTTTACTACTTGAAGCTTTGAAATTATTAAATTCAATCTCCTCTGCTGTATCCAAATATTTTGCCCATTTACTTTCAGTTACTTTTAAGTTTGACTCTTCAGAACAAGTATTTGCATAGTTGTCATTAATATTATTGTACTGATTAAAAGATGCACTTTCCTGAATCTCGTGTTCTTTCGCAAGATTTAATTTTTGAACAAAAGCACGACAATCTTTCCCTGAGCCTTTAAAATATGCCTAAAAATTGTAATTATCTACTACACCTTGCACACCCACTGTTTCATGACTATATCGTGACACTCATTTGGTGATATATTATAATAGACATTGAAGGTAGAATTTTTCAATCATAAATAGAATTAACTGACCTGTTTGAACGTCTGCTTGAAATTACATATTTTACATTGCCATTTCTTCGCTTTCTTTACTATGTGGACCTGTAATGTAAACATATCGTACGTCGGATAATCCAATTACGTCGCAATAGCAATTTATGACGCATTAGTGATTACCTGATAAATGTTGCACGAAGAACAGCGCAAAATATTCATTTCTTGCGGCATATTTTCACTATTTACAAAAATTAAACCACAAATGACACTATTCAATGTTAAAAGTATCACGTATTCAAGTACTACACTTTTCAAATTGTTACAATTTGACAAATCAGTATGACCAATGTGACGGGATCAAATTTTGGCGGGAAATAAAACCGTTTATCTACGCAGTTCAATTTCCGCCACTTCCGGTAAATTGAATATGTCGATTTGACGTATGCATTCCTATTTTTGAAATTCTTATCTAAATATTTTATTGCAAACGCGTAAAAGAGAAATGAAAAGCCGCAAAACTGTATCTGTCATATCGAGGTAAGAATTTCTTTAAAATATTGCGTCTTATTCGAAACGATTTATTACGATAATGAATTGCAATTGATTGTACCAAAGAAATCGATACGCAATAATATTTATTTTTTATTTTTTACATTTCACGATTACACATTTTTCAATACTTATCAAACGTAATTTTACAATTAATATTAAACTATAAATTATTTACTCAAGATTGATTTTACAATTGGGTAAAGCTTCAGTAAGTTCCTTATAAATAGCATCGCTATTCAAAATATATGATAATCCTTTAATTGTCAATTGTTTTAAATTTCTGAAATATTAAAGTATCAGCAGTTTTATATCTTGTTTTATATATTTTTTTTTTTTTATTTTTATGTATACATATCACATACTTCAGTTGTTTCAACTCACGTAGACCATCATCATCGATACTTTTACAGCTTATAATTTCTAAATTAGTTAATGTATCTTGAAGGAGTGATAAATATGACATAGCATTATTATTAAGATATTTACAACTTTGAAATTTTATATCTTTTATATGCTTGCATCCGTCTAAGTTAACAATCCAATGAATAATTATGATTATTTTTATTTCACTTTAATTTATTTCACGTCAAGGAATTAATTATACGACTGACCAAAATGTCGAAATCCTACATCACATATCCCAGCGTTATTTGCTTCAACAGCTTCAATGTAATAATTCTTACCGGATGGTATAGCATTATAATCAGTTAAAAGCTCAGAAAAATTTTTCCACCTAACAAATGCTCCATTTTTTAAAAGCCATTCTGCACATGCACGATCTGGACCAACTTGTTTTACACGTTCAACATCAACTCTTAAAAAGACAACTTCTTATATTTGAACTATTAATTTCATACATAAAATCAATCAGCACTGTTTTAATGTCTATTGAATAATATAATACCTATTAAATATAACCACAAGCCAGTAAAAGAGTGGTCTACTTTGATATTTAGTACTTTGAAATACAGCAGATGTTAATCTTTTTAATGTCTGAAACTAAAAGTGTATCGCAATAACATATTAAAAACAGAAAGAAATAGATTTTCTTACAATCTTACATAGATTGACATTGCTTTTTTATTCTTAAAAACACAATGGGAATATTACTGAAGTTCTGGGTTACAAGCGTAACCCAAGTGTACAATGTATCAGTGAGTTGTTACAGTTAATCATAGAACACTTTGCAATTATTTTACGCTATTTATTATTGTTTACAATACAGGTATAGAATTCGTGTATAGTACAGTCTTTCGAGCAGTAAAGTGTAGATATTCCGATAGATGGCGAAAAAAAATTCGCAACAGGTAACGAATGAAATTTATTCAAAATATGATAGTTGATCTTGTAGCATGACTCGACGATTAGTGGTTATTACGTATTATGTAAGAAAAATATTGCATCATAAAAAAACGAAAGGAATGTTGTACTATATGATTTCAGCTATTAGAAGGATTTGTATCAGTCACCATACAGTAGACATTGTTGAATACAGATGTCAGCGACAAACAGTAGTTCTATGGGTCATGCTCTTCTATATTATCTATAGTCTCTGGATTTCATAATTGTATGTGCCGCCGGTTTGAAGAGTCAAAACAAACCTGTGTGATTACGCACAACAGTGATTACGTTTGGTAGAAAAAGTACTAAATAGCAGCGACATGAGTCGAAGGAAAAGAGCGAAGGTTTGTTTTGTTATTCTACTCTACCGCACTTAATATTATTTGTTATTGAAGATATCCTTATGAAAGGTGCTGTGTGATGTACGATTAATAAACCGATTGTTTTACATGTGTACTATAACGTGAATCAGGTGTTTGTTTTCCCATATTTCTTCATATAATGATATTGGAAGATACAAGTTTTTGCGTGGAAGACAATTTGTGCGCGTTTACATTAAGTGATATTGTACTGTAAATAAGCAGCATAGGTTATGTTTTGGTTAGACACGTTATTTGTTATTTAACTTATCTCGACAACAATCATAAATTTATACTTTTGTAATAACAGTCGAATATGTCACCCGTAAATTTAAATAAAAGTACTTTATGCAACTTTTAATTCATAAAAAGCTGTAGAAACTTTTAACCTATATGTTAAGATAGATTTGTGTATTCTAAATAAAGTTTTGCTTAGAAAAAGATTTATAGTTGAATATTATTCTCTTGATATTTGTGATATGTTCATACCTACACATAGGTGGAGTATAGAGAAATGGAAGAGAAGTATAATCAATTGGAAGATGAAAATGCTTCAGATACATCGGAGAAGTCTAAACCTGGCCTTGTAACACCAGAAAAAAAAGTTGTGCCAGAGGTAAAAAAAGATTCTGACACAGGTATATCACAATCTGTCCCTACATCCTCAGCACCAAAAATTGAAGTAAAAGAAGAAGATGATCAAGACAGTGATCACGAAGATCCTCACGGTACGTACTATTTTGTAGCAGAACATTGTAGACAAAATTCTAATTTAAGCATTTGATTGTAGTAAAAGAATTACTTAATGGATTGGAAGGGGCAGCATTTCAAAGTCGTCTTCCATTTGATAAGTTGACATCTACGGAAGCTGCTTGTTTTCCTGATGTTTCTGGTGGTCCGCCACAGACTCAGAAAGTTTTCCTTCATATTAGAAATAGACTGGTACGTAGTTTAATGACATCAAAGATTAAATTTTATTGTTTATAAATCCATGTTTACAAATCTCTTTGTTTCAGTTACAATTGTGGCTGGAAAATCCAAAGCAACAATTGATAATTGAGAATGCTCTACCAGCGATAGAACCACCGTATAATAGCGACACCGTACTGGCACGTCGAATTCACGCATTTTTAGAAAGACACGGTTTTATCAATTTCGGAGTGTTTAAACGACTTAAAGTAATATATGCTTAATGTTTGATTGTTTTTACTATACGAATATTATATACGATGTATGAAATATATATTATCGATCTTGTATTGTAGCCATTACCTACGAAAAAAGTAGGTAAAGTAATCGTAATTGGGGCAGGCATCGCTGGTTTAGCAGCAGCGCAGCAAATGCAACAGTTTGGCTTAGAAGTAATCGTACTCGAAGCACGGGTAATTATCACTTCAAATTTAACTGTATACATAAACGATGCGTAGTATCCTGTATGTATGTGTCCGATTTTATAGGATCGCGTAGGTGGTCGAATTGCAACATTTCGTAAATCGTCGTACATCGCCGATCTCGGTGCTATGGTAGTCACAGGGTTAGGTGGAAATCCCGTAACAACGCTGAGTAAACAAATTAATATGGAACTCCACAAAATTCGACAGAAGTGTCCTTTATACGAAAGCGATGGTCAAACGGTTAATATAAATATATCACATACAGATGTAATAATTAAATGTTTAAAACAATCATTTACGAAGTTTTAATATTTTTTCCACGGGTAGGTTCCAAAAGATAAAGATGAAATGGTAGAAAGAGAGTTTAACCGGTTACTGGAAGCAACGTCGTATCTTTCACACCAATTAGATTTTAATTACGTGGGTAGCGCTGGATCGGGACAAGGTGGTAATACGCGACCGGTTTCACTGGGTCAGGCATTGGAATGGGTGATACGTCTACAGGAGCAAGGTGTCAAACAGCGTCAAGTAGCTCATTTGCGTTCCGTATTATCACTCCAAGGTCGACTTATTACGAATCAACATAGGGTGCGTATCCCGATTGCTCGTACTTCAAACCAATGGAAAGTACTACATTTTATTCTCACGTTACAGATGATATCGATCATGGATCGTTTGGTCGAACTAAACAAACAGTATAAAGAAATGACCGAAAGCAAATTACAAACACGCGATATAACACAGGAATTCGTATTACGTTCAAAACTACGTGACCTTCATAATGCATGCAAGGTACGTTTTCTTATTTCTCCATCTTTATTTATACCGTCTCGAATAAGCAGGTTATTCGAACGTTTCTGTATCAGGAATGGGATCAACTGTCCGAACAGCAGAAAGAAATCGAAGCAAAGTTACAAGAATTAGAAGCCTCCCCTCCAAGGTAAGTTTTGTTTACCACTTTCTACCCGATATGTAATAAACGCCTTTGTCGGTACAAAAAAATTTTTGTTCGCTGTTCATAGCGACGTGTACCTTTCTTCGAAGGATCGTCAGATATTGGATTGGCATTTCGCGAATTTGGAGTTCGCCAACGCGACATCGTTATCGAATCTAAGCCTGAAACACTGGGACCAGGACGACGACTTCGAGTTTACCGGCAGTCATCTAACAGGTAAGTCTATTCAACGGTAGACATTATATAAAGTAGCGCTTTGCCTTATTAAATCAATCGTTGCTTACTTTCACCCGCGCTCGCGATTAGAATTTAGTCGGATCGCTGGTTAAATTGACGGTAATTATTATCCATCGTACAGGTTGTTCATCGAGATACGTTAAACACGCGAAAACATTCTAATTTCGTGGAGCGTGCGTGATTCGTCGGGTATTCCTGTACAGCGTAACGCGTATACGGCATTATATCGACGTTCTCGAGAAATTGCTTAACCAGCCAGTAGATGGTATAGATAACGGGTGAATTATTCGCGGGTTGCATCTCCTTTACAGGCGTCGGATAGTCTCTCGCACTCGGTGTCCGTGCGGTTGACTTTATCAACCTTATTGAAAGTCGATAGCATGAGATTCCGTGTAGATAGTACGCTATATCCCTTAACCGATCGGTTACCAGAGTTCTCATTATGTGAAATTATACTATGATCATAGCGTGTTCGCTGTGCTCGAGCCTACTAATGCGTTAACAAAAACGAAAGCGGCGAGAAATATGACTATAGATAATCAAGCGGTTTCGTATTTTACACTGTTGGAGGGTTCTCTCTGTTCCTAACTCGCAACAAGTCCGAGTTAACGGTCTACCTTACGATTTCCCTAATCATTATCTCGAGTATTTACATTAAACACAACTAAGCCGGGCCGGAAATAATTGGCATTCCTAGAGCGGTCGAATCCGTGCATTCAGGCGCTGCAATTAAAACTGTTGGAAGCTTCTGGGCGTACCCTCGTGACGTACGTTTGCGTTACCATTCTGCGCGGTCATATCGCGTATCGGATGCACGACAATCGAAAAGACAGGCTGAACACGAGCGCGTCCTTAGAGGCTTCTAAGAACCCTAATGACGTTAGTTGTAATTCCTGCGACACGGTTCACACCCGGAAGCCTCTCTTCTGTATCGTTTCAACTAGGAGAATCCGAAGCGTGAACGGTCCGCCGTGGATCTCGCACGAAATATCGTCCCTAGTAAACGAACGGTAAACGCAACTTTAATAGATACCCGAGCTGGACGTTGCTGGATGTTGCGTATCAGTGGACCGTAACCCAGCGGAATAACGTGGTCGCGTGTGTCGCTACTGCGAAGCACACTCGACTGACAGTGAACGAACGAACCGGTCGAGTCAGGCTCGAATTCCAATATTGCTCCACTGTCGTCGTTCCACCGACCACGCAGTCGAGTGCATCGTGCGAGAGAGCGAACTCGAGCGAGTGAGCGCTCCTTCAGCGCGCCGGCTGAAACAAGAGACGCGCGAGGAGGATGCTGCGCGCCCCCGTTCTTATGGGGCCACGGTGCGCGGCCATGGTGGTCAATTCGAAATTAAAGCGATGCCCACAGTCCATGACTGACGTGCATCGATGATCATGACGGTCTGCCCGCAGGTTCTTCCCGGCGATTAATGAGATGTAAACAATTTAACGCTAAATTAAGCACAACAATAGGCTCTCTCGTGAATCCCTGGTCGAAAGTTGGGGCCCAACGGCGGATCCTCGATGTAATCGCTTCTCCTCCGAGCCTCGAACTCCTCGCGGTCCTCCACTCCGGTTTACGGACCATCGGTTCCTTCTCGGTTCCTTCTCCAACGAATCCCGGCTGCAGGGTTAATAGCCACTGACCGAGAAAGCGTTTAGCTCGGAATATTCCTCCGGATACTTTTTTCGCTTTGAATGTCGCCGACTATACTTTGCCTCTATTTCCCCGGTTAACTTTGGATCGGTGTCACATCTCGTTAGCTCGTCGATTTATGCGGATACCGCGTC